CGGAGCTTCTGTCAGCTTCTCTCCCTTCACGACCCTCAACAAAACGAACGCTTGGCGAAACAGTCTCTGGCATATCATATGCACCTGTTTCATCCCCTTTCAGTTCCGCATAAAACAGCCACATGCTGTTCCCTGTTGGCAAAGATCAATACTACAACGCTCAATAAATCTACTGTCAAGGTGCCTCTCAGCTTTTTCAGCTTTTGCAAAGTCTCGCCAGGCATGCAGGCAGTGAAGCAACAAGCGCACATTTGCATACCTCGGGAAAGCATTCAGCTTGAAAACATGAACGTCCCAAATATTGAGTGACACTTGGCGAAACAGTGTCTATGCCTCATCGATTGCCACATGTGTGTTTGGCATATGGGCCGCTGGCAGAGAAGACCAAGCTGGTGTGAAGGGCAAATAAAGGATATTGCCAGGGTGCTTCTCAGCTTTTTCACCTTTTGCAAAGTCTCGCCAGGTGTCCAAACTGTGCAGCAGCAAGCGCACATTCGCATGCCTCAGGTATTCGGAATTCGGAATAACCCTGTAAAGTTTCGGCGTGGACACTGGTTTTTGATCCGCACTGGTCATGCGATCTCTGCTTCTCTGCTTCCGAGGCGTTCTCTGCGGGTTCCACGTCTTTGCTCTGGAGTTTGACGGCACAGGTAGCACCAAGCTGGTTCAGTGGTCTACCGCATTAAACATGTTCCTTGGAATGCTTGGACAGTTCATCCCACTGATCCGGGATGCCAATTCGCTATGTTCCGCTACTCATCGAAAAGGGAAAGCTCTTTTATCCGATTTTCTTCGATTCTGGTTCTTCATTGCCTAGTGTTCTCCATCGCCTAGTGTGTTTCTCAAAAAAGTAGGAAATTGATGAAATAGACCTAAGTCATTGGAGTTTGCCGGCATTTCAATACATAGCATATACCCATACAAGGATAAAACAAATGATAAAAGTATCTGCGGCCTCACAAGCCAAGGAAAATATGCCCAAAAAATGTCCCGCAAAAAATTAAAAAAGCCTTGACATGCCTTGGCCCAACGGAACGTGGCATGATCAATGAAGTTCAACGTGGCATCACCAAAGCATCACCAAAGCATCACCTTGGCATGCCCGCACCGAGCCACCTCGCAGCCTTCTCCGTCGCTGCCAAGTCGTGCCATCCGCAAAACGAATCACGGAGCAACGTCTGCAAAGCTGCATGCCTTACATGTGGGCTCTGAACTTCTATGACTGCATCGACTTTCAAAGAACTGGAACCCACATTCTGCCAAAGCCATGAACTGTGACCTTCGAACGAAAAAACGTGCGCTGCCGTGGGTGTTTGTTGGAACCCAGGTGCCGAGCAGTCTTTTCTGCCTGAGCGAAGTCGCGCCAAGCTTGCCAGTACGGAAGCAAGTTCCGCAAGCTCAGCAGGTGTTCCTCCTCCTTGGATGAAACCTGGCGCCGGAGGCAGCACAAGCTCGAGCACACTCCAAGAGTCACGGCATGGCTGACACTCAGGACATGTCGATGTCAGGACATGTCGAAGGAATCACTGGGCAAGAGGTCAAAAGGCCATGAAGTTGAGAGCTGTGTGTCCGCCTTGAACAAACAGAACCACAGTATACACCCTCTAAGACTCTAAGACTGGTAATTACTATCCCTGCCTCCGTCTCTTCTCTTTTCTTTCCCTTGATCTCCTCCACCTTGCCAAGCAAGGACATTTCTGGACGTGAACATGAAGGCCTCATCGAACTCTCAGTTCTCTGAGCCCTCAACTTTTTCGACCGTCTCTGGCCATGTTGAGGACGTCTCTGCAACGGCAGTGGTCAGCGGACTGTCCTCACACAATTCCATCCGTAAGTGCTTTGACACCTAGAAAAACCGACGAAAACTACCAACATCTGGGGACATCATCGAAATATATCGAAATATCGGATACTATTGTGAAGAGCTAAAGGATTCTGTTTCAAGGGGCTTTTGAACAAACAAGATGTAGATCTTTCAGGTGAAGTGGGTCCTCTGGCGGCGTCTCCTCAACTTCTGTCTCCAAAGGCGGCTGGGGCGGAGCTTCTGTCAGCTTCTCTCCCTTCACGACCCTCGACAAAACGAACGCTTGGCAAAACAGTCTCTGGCATATCACCTTTTTGAGTTCCGCACAGAAGAGTCACAAGTCTTTTGAATGCAATTCTGCAAGAAGACCCTCCTATCAGCTTGAGAAAACAGTCAGTAAGGTGATGATGTGGTATTGTCTGGATGAGACAAATTGGGACAGAGATGCACGTGCTGTGAACACGTGTTCTTCTGACCATACTGACTCTGAAACAACTTGTGGACAAAATTAAGTATTCACAGGAAGGGTATTGCCAAGTCGCTTCTCAGCTTTTTCAGCTTTTGCAAAGTCTCGCCAGGCGATCAAACAGTGGAGTAGCAAGCGTTGCATATCTGCTTGCCTCAGCATACGCAAAATCACCTTCCAAGAAGAGTCTCAACATTATGAACTGATGTCTGCTTATAAGCTGCTATCCGATAGCAAAAGAGAGCAAAAAAAGGAAACGTGCCATGAACAGTCTTGCTTGACTTGACGAGAACTCAAAACTCTTGCAAATGGTGACGGCTCTACACTCTTAGAGTCAATCATTGCAAAAATAGTTCTTGCAAACTGACCGACTACTAGAACAGAATTGAAGCAAGAAGCAGCAAACCCAAGAAACAAAAACAGCCACATGCTTTTCCCTCTTGGCCCAGCTTTGCAGCACTCCCACTGCGTAGCAAGGTTGTTTCAACAAAACAACTATTTTATCAAACTAGTTATGCTAGTTTGGAGTTCAGCTACGATGCTCAATAAATCTACTGTCAAGGTGCTTCTCAGCTTTTTCAGCTTTTGCAAAGTCTCGCCAGATGAGCAGGCAGTGAAGCAGCAAGCGCACATTTGCGTGCCTCGGGAAAGCATTCAGCTTGAAAACATGAACGTCCCAAATATTGAGTGACACTTGGCGAAACAGTGTCTATGCCTTATCGATTGCCAACATCTGCGTTTGGCATA